TCTACTCTGTCCTGCAGTGTCTAGAACCCACTACACAGATCTTCCCACCAAAGGCGGCACGCAAACATTAACCCTCAGCGAGGCAGCAAAAGCCTCACCTTCATTGCACCCGGCCTCACTGCTCCACTCAGAGCTCCTGACACACTGCAGCCTTGGCCCAAGCCCTGGTCAGCCACATGCGCTGATGTCTGCTCACAGGCTCCTGGCCCGGGCTGACACCCACAGCACTCCTGTGTCCTTCCAGCAGTGACCGCACAGAGGCCTTACCCCTACGCCCGCCAGGGGAAAACAAGCTTCTCGTGTAGCCGGTCACAAGACACACCGGTATCAACTGGGTGGAGGACAGTGTATATACAGTAACACAATGTACAGGGAGGCTAAGTGGACTGACTTGGAAAAATTCCTTAAAATACACAAGAGTGTTGGGTTTTGCTCCTGAAAAAAAATAAATAATAATTTGCCTTCTCTGTAAGCAAAGAGGGCAGTCCTGGCATGGCGCTGTGGGTTAATGTGCTGGACTGCAAGGATGCTTTGAACCACAAGGTCAAGTGGTTCAAGCTCACGAGCCACTCCTTGGAAACCCTATACAGGGTCGCTATGAGTAGGTAGCAACTCAACAGCACTTAACAACAACAATAAGGAAAACAGAAGGAAGCCTGGTGGTGAGGTGGGTAAGTGCTCATCTACTCCCCAAATGGTCAGAGGTCGACCCACCAGCCCTCCACGGCTTCTGTACAGACTGAGTCTCTGAAACCCTGTGTGCAGTTCTCCTCCATCCTCCAGCAGAGCTGGGACTTGGAATGGACTTAACGACAAGGAGGTTTTCCTCAATCTGCAATGTTTTTCTTCTTTCTGATCATTATTTCAAACTCCCCAACCAGAGAGGCTGAGGCCTGACCTTTTACCAAGGCTCAATCGTGGGCGGAGAACATGTGGGGCACAGATGACTTCAGGACACCAAATTACACCACACTGGACTCTTCCCACATCTCCTTTCCAAACCAAGGCAGGCCTCTGCTCATCTTTCAAATCTGACTTTTCCCAGAAGTGAAATGGACCCAACCCCAAACCCACTGATGACCAACGGTGCTAAGCTGGACACAGAGAAGAGGCACAGAAAACTTCTTAAAATTACCAGTCGATTTCTCCATATGAGGGGTGGGTAGCAGGGGTCTGAGCCCAACGTGTCAGCCCTGACCTGGAATGACCACGTAGGCATCATACCCAGAACCCAACACTCCCAAGACAAGGGACACTTCAGGGAGCACAGCAAGGATCACCTCTGAAGCCCCCCTAAGTACCAGCCAGCACCTGACACGGAGCACACCCTCTAGCAAAAAGGCTCTGCTCTCTTGCCCACAAACAGCCTTTCACTGAGGTGAAATCCACACACAACAGACACCATCAAAAGTGTCACTGCCATGGATTTTAGGGTATTCATAAACCGTGTAATGATCCATCGCCACATCCAACTTTAAACATTCTCCTCAAAGAAATCCGGCTTCCATTTCACCAGATCCCAGCAGCGATGAAGCAGCTTTCAGTGTGCACGCTGGTCTGTTCTGGACACTTCATATAAAAGGAATCACACAGAGCATGCGTACCCTTTCGTGTCTGGCTTCTTTTACTTAGCAGGTATTCAAGGCCCATCCACCTTGCACACGAACTTCTTTAGGGTCAAACTCAGCAGAGGTGCCTGGGAAACCCTATGTAGGGGTGCTACGAGTCAGATCTCACTCGGCGGCACTTACAACAACAGCAACATTCCATTTAGGAGCCCTGGTGGCACTGTGGGTGAAGTACTGGGCTGCTGCTACCTGCAAGGTCAGTGGTTCAAATCCACCAGGCAACCCTCAGGAAAAAGATAAGCAGTCTATTTCCGATACGATTTAGTCTCAGGACTGCCGTGTGGGGTCATTATGAGTCAGAAACAACTCGACGGCAGTGGGGTTTTTACTATTTCATTGTATGACTGTGCCACATTGCTTCTCCATCCAGCTCTAGGATGAACACTCAACCTTTTATTCGGAAAATCTGTAAGGATTGCATAATGTTCCCAGTGATCTTATAAAACAGGGTATTTCTTTTAATGTCCTGATTTCAGTACGCATCAAAAGGGCATGGTGATGGTGTGAAGTCAGTTCTTCTGACTCATACCAACCCTGCGTAGGGTTTCCAAGGCTGTAAATCTTTATAGGAGCAGAAAGCCTCACCTTTCTCCAGCAGAACAGCTGGTAGTTTTAAACTTCTGACCCTGAGGTTAGCAGCCTAACTTGTAACCACTACGCTACCAGAGTCCTATCAAAGGGCATACACACTCATTCCTTCAAGAGATGTCAATTACTCATCTATCATCTGTCCAGTACGGGGACCAGCAACTTTCAGTACAAAGCCTGGTTTCCCCAACTGTGTGCTGTGTGACCCCAGGGTAGTTAAACTCTCTAAGTCTCTGTAGACTATTACATGGGGAATTTCATTCTTTATCTGTATTACTGAATTGGGGGCAGGGCAATCAAACACTCAGCGGCTAACCTAAGTCTGTGGTTCAAAGCCCCCATCCGCTCTGCTCTGTAAAGATGACAGTCTTGGAAAGCTATGGGGCAGTTCTCTTATGTCCTCTAGGATCGCTGTGAGTCGGAATGGATGGGACGACAGTGGGGTTACGTGTGTCCTCTAGGATCGCTGTGAGTCGGAATGGACCGGACGGCAGTGGGGTTACTGTAACCCCTGTACAGACGGAGACTTTTAATACGCGAATGGGAGCGAAGCCCTGTAAGTGGTACAGGTGAATCCCCAAGTTCTACTGCAGCCAGACAGCCGACTTTCCCAAAGATGGAGAGCAGGACGACTGGGCCCACAGCGCTGCAGCACTGCTGCTGGGGCGCGAGCCTACAGCCCAACGCTCTCCTCCACAGACCATTCCCGCTGACTGCAGAGACCCACCCCACCTTGGCCTGGCTCATGTGCAGATGAAGAAGTCTGACCTACAAGGAAGGCCCTGGCTTCACCCCTCATTAGCTACATGCAGGAAGGCATCTAGTCTCTGTGCCCGCTTCCTCATCTGCAGCATGCCCATCAAGAGAAATGAAAGCAGTTCAGCAGGTGCCTTGGTGCAGAGAGCACAGCGAAGAAGTCAGGGCATCAGGCCAGCGCTAGTCCCAGCGGGACTATGAGCTTTAGTGGCATGGAGGGATAGAGAGCTGGACTGCATCGCTGCTTTGAACCACAAGGTTGGCAGTTCAAACTCACGCTCCTTGGAAACCCTATACAGGGTCACTATGAGTTGGAACCGAACGGACGGCATATAATAATAACAATGGCTGGGGCAGCCTTCCAAAGACATAAAACTTAGGCTCCAATCATAGTTCAGTTAACCTACTACCTGGGGAGCTTTCGTCAGTTTCTACCTCCTCTCAGGCTCTGTCTCCACAATAAAGATGAACCAGTTACTCACTTAGCACAGTGCCTGCTATTTAGTCAGGCTGCAGATTACAGCTACGACCAGATAACCAAGTACTTCAGTACGAACACGAAGGAGTCATCGTGGCTGCCTTCTTCCCTACTGCACACAGACAATCCAGTAATCCCTGCCCATTCTACCTTCATTGTTGTGAAGTGCTATCGAGTCGGTTCTGGCCCATAGCGATCCTGTATAGGATTTTCAAGGAGCAGCTGGTGAGCTTGAGCTGCCGACCTTCATAAATCACCCTAAATTCATCCACTGCTTGATACTACTTCCACCTGGTCAGTTCTAAGAAGCTTCTTCCTGCCTGGGATCTCTGTTCTCACAATCCATCTGTACAACAGATGCTGGCAAACATTTCTGTCAGGGGCCAAAGGGAACTAGTTTGGGTTTGGTCAATGTCTTTGAAAGCAGACATAGCAAAGACACCACTGAAGCAGGAGTGGGCAGGGCTATGTGTTAGAATCCATGACAGTGGTGGGGGGTTAGCTTCCCTAACACTTTATTCATGGAGTTTGGAACTGGAATTCTGTGTAATTTTCATTTGTCCTGAAAGAACCTGCTTGTGATCCCATCCCCCTACCTTCAAAAAGTAGAACCATTCTTAGCTTGTGGGCCCTACAAAAACAGGAAGTAAACCTGATTTGTTTGGGTTGCTGGCCAGAGCTTGCCTAATTGCTCTACAGAGCCCAGTAGGAACCCTCTGAAACAATTCAACCCTGCAAAGGCTTTCTACCTGGAGCCTTCAAAAAAACGTGTGGGAAATTTCAGTATCTTTAATTCCACTTATCCATGAACTGTTCAGAATCCCCTCTTACCCAACAAAGTTCAAATGCTTTATTTACTTCACCTAATATGCCCTGGTGCCTGTCTAGGCCTCTCTTCCCAGTTTGTTGGACTTTTTAAACTGAGCACCACAAAACCCAGTGCCTTCTAGTCTTCTGACCCCAGGTCCTTTGCACCTGCTGAATCCCCAGTCTGGAATGTTCTTTTTCTTGCCCTGCTTCCTTGTAGGTCCCTCAATGCCCAAATCAAGTCACCTCTAGAGAGCCATCCTTTAAACCCATCATCGATCCCTGCACGTGATCCTGTATCAACTGCTTCCCTTCACCTGTATCACGGGTACCAGCACCTACTTGCTTCTGGGTTTGGTGGCCCTGTAGGACAAGCACTCGACCCCAAGGTTTGTTTGAACCTCACCAGCCGCTTCTTGGAAACCGTGTACAAGGTCGCTATGGGTCAGCACCGACTCTACAGCACTCAACAAGAGTGTATACGAAGGTGCCCTGGTAGTTAGGCTGGTAGGTAGAGGTTACGCGATGGGCTGCTAACCGCAAGGTCAGCAATTCGAATCTAAAGCTTTGTCTTCCTAATCCCATCAGATTTACAGTTTTGGAAACGCGATTCAGGGCGCTAGGATTAAGAACGGGATCCGCGGCGCACCACCATCACCGTACGGCTACGCTCACACCCAGCAGCCGCTCCTCGGACTCCCCACGCCGGCTCTCCGCTCGAGCGCGCGGGGACGGACGCTCACCTGGTCGGCGCCGAAGGGCGTGATGTTGGCCTTGACGGTGCCCACGCCCAGGCCCACGACCACCAGCCCCGCGAAGGTGGCGGGCGCGCAGTAACGCGTGGGGCCGTCGGGGCAGGCGGCGCTGCCATTGGGGAAGGGCTCCGAGCAGTTCTGCAGGAGCGTTGGGCGCAGGTACCCGCAGAGCACAGTGCGAGTGGTGTTCGCAGCCACCAGCGGGAAGGCCAGCATGCCGAGCAGGTAGAGCGCCAGACTGAGCACGATGGCTCCCGCCTTGCCGAGCAGCGCGTCGGCCAGCCAGCCGCCGAACGGCGACACTAGGTAGGTGACGCCCATGAAGAGCAGCAGCGCCTGGCTGGCCTGCGCGCCCTCCCAGTTGAACGGCGCGCCGTTCAGGAACAGCACCAGGTCGGCCGTGACGCCGTAGAAGGCGGCGCGCTCCAGCAATTCCGTCAGCAGCACGGCGCCACACGCCATGCGCCGGCCCGCGAACGCCGACGCCGTCCGCCGCGCGCCCAGGAGCGGCGTCCGCTCGCCCGGGCCCGCCATGCTCGCCGTCGCCGGCCGGGCCTGCGCCAGCACCAGAGCCACCGCCCTTCTCGCGAGATCTCGAGGGTGCTTCCTCCCATTGGCCGGACTGAGCATCGTTCGGCCTGCCGGGAGACTTCCGGTTCCGCCCCCGGAAGCCTGGAGAAGTTTGGCTGCTTGCTGTAGGCTTTAGTTTCTCGGTGTTGTTGTTAAGCGCTGTCGAGTCGATTTCGACCCATAGCGAAGCTGTACAGGGTTTCCGAGGCTGTAAATCTTTACGGGAGCAGAGCACCTCATCTTTCTACCGCAGAACCGCTGGTAGTTTCGAACTGCTGACCTTGAGGTTCGCAGCTGGATTCGTAACCACTACGCTACCAGAGCAGACTCTGACACCCGATATTAGGAGACTTTCTGTCCCCGGAGCCTGCATATTAGTGTTCACACTTGGAAGAATTTGGTATGACAGCGTTAGCAATTGAACACCTTTATTGCTGTTGATTAAAAGCGAAGGTGGAGACCTGAAGACCAGAACGTCACCGGGACCGCCTCCTTCTTGTTCAAAGTAGGGCATTTCTAGATCTCTCTATATATGCTAATTAATATTGGAGTCCTGGTGTGGTGCTGTGGGCTAATATGTCAGACTGCGAAGTCGTTTGAATTTTAAGGTCGGTGGTTCAAGCTCACCAGCTGCTCCTTGGAAACCGTAAAAAAAACAACAGGGTCGTTATGGGTCAGAATTTACTCGACGGCACTTAACAATAACAACATTTATACTAATATTGGGCTTAGGGATCTTGAGAAAAGGGAGATCCCGTTTCCAAAAACTACCGCAGCTTTAGGATGGAACCTGCAGCAGGGGCATCTGGGATTCTTAGCATCACTTATTCAGGGATGTCTAGGAGATTACCCAGAGTGCACTGCGCCTTCATGCTTGTGTCTTTGGCATTCAGCTATGGGAATCTGGTTTTCTGTAAAACTGGTTTTGGTGGCAGGATATCTTTGTTCAACAACAGGATGGAGTGAATGCTGCACTGTTCTTGTCCCAGACATTAACCAGAACATGGCCTAGGGATTTCACATATGAAAAATGGTTTTCATAGAGCCTCTTTACTGACTCATTTCCAGCCAGTGTGTGTTCAGCTAAAACTCCCCCAGTCTTGAGGACCTGCCTGCTCTCCAGGTTACTATACCAGGACTAACCCCCCCTCACAAAGAAATTCTGGTGGTGTAGTGGCTACCAGTCATCCTGATAACCTCAGGGTCAGCAGTTTGAAACTACCAGTTGTTCTGCGGGGAAAAGATGAGACTATTTGCTCCAGTAAAGATTTGTTGTTGTCCTCCGGTGCCATCGAGTCGGTACCGGTTCATAGCGACCCTATGCACAACAGAACAAAACACTGCTCGATCCTGGGCCAACCTCACTATTGTTGCCACGCTTGAGCCCATTGATGCTGTCACTTGCCAATACATCTCGCTGGGGTCTTCCTCTTTCTCTGACCCTCCACCTTACTAAACATAATATCCTTGTCCAGCGACCGGGCTCTCTTGACAGTATGTATGAAATAAGAGAGACCAAATTTGACCATCCTGGCCTCCAAGGAACACTCTGGCTGCGCTTCTTCCAATACAGATCTGTTAGTTCTTTTGGCAATCCATGGCACTTTCAGTATTCTCCTCCAACACCATAATTCAAAAGCATCAATTCTTTTACGGTCTTCCTTATTCACTGTACAGCTTTCGCATGCGTATGAGGTTATTGAAAATACCATGGCTTGGGTCAGGTGTACCTTAGTCCTCAAGCTAACATCTTTGCTCTTCAACACTTTAAAAAGGTCTTGTGCAGCACATTTGCCTAATGCAACACATTGTTTGATTTCTTGACTGCTGCTTCCATGAGTGTTGATAGTTGATCCAAGAAGAATGAAGTCCTTGACAACGTCAGTCTTTTCTCCATTGATAAGAATGTTTATTGGTCCAGTGGTGAGGATTTTTGTTTTCTTTACATTGAGATGCAAACCATACTGAAGACTGCTCTTTGATCTTCATCAGTAAATGTTTTAAGTCTTCTTCACTTTCAGCAAGCAAGATTGTATCATCTACACATTGCAGGTTGTTAATGAGTCTTTCTCCAATCCTGATGCCATGTTTTTCTTCACATATAAGCCACCTTCTCGGATTATTTGCTCAGCATACAGGTTGAATAAGTATGGTGAAAGAATACAACCTTGTCGCACACCTTTCTTAATTTTAAGCAATTCAGTGTTCCCATGTTCTGTTCGAACAACTGCTTCTTGGTCCATGTACAGATAGATTCCTCATGAGCACAATTAAGTGTTCCAGAATACTCATGCTTTGCAATGTTGTCCAAACTTGTCATGCATAGTCAATAAAGCACAGGTAAACATCTTTCTGATATTCCCTGCTTTCAGCCAAGATCCATCAGACATCAGCAATGATATCCTTCGTTCCACGTCATCTTCTGAATCCAGCTTGAACCTCTGGAAGTTCTCTGTCAATGTATGCTTGCAGCCGTCTCTGTATTACCGTCAGTAAAACTTTACTCGCATGGGATACCAAAGAGAATGTCCAATGATTTCTGCATTCTGTTGGGTCACCTCTCTTTGTAATGGGCACAAATACGGATCTCTTCCAATCAGTCGGCCAGATAGCTGCCTTCCAGATTTCTTGGTCTAGATGAGTGAGTACCTCGGAAACCCTATAGAGGGAGCTATTGGTAGCACTGCCCTAACCCAAACGGAGTTGATTTAGTTCCTGAGTCTCAAGGGAGGACCCTGCAAATGAAGAAGTTTATACATTGACTGGGATGACTTTGTGGTTCTAGAAGGAGGACAGGACAAGAAGAATAGGATGCGCTTCAACCCACCCAGATAATTATCTCAAGAATTAAGCAGAGACCCTAAAGGTAGAAAGTTTGAGAAGGATCATTGCCTGATTGTCCTGTTCCCCGCTCCCCTGCCCCACCAAATGTAATTTATCCTAACCCTGTATAATGTGCCTGGGTTAATGCACCAGACTTCAAAGCCGTTTGTACTGCAAGATTGGCAGTTCAAGCTCACCAGCTGCTCCTTGGAAACCCTATACACGGTCGCTATGGGTTGGAATCGACTCGATGGCACTTAACAACTTCATAATGGACAGGATGGTTTTGAGTAGCTATTCTCACCATCCTCCAGACTGCTGGCTTTCTGCTAATAAAGCTTGGCTTGGCTCTCTCCCCATCTCTGTGATTGACCACAGTGACAGATGGCAAACCCTCATTTCGATTTGGCAACACTACGGGTCAGAACACGAAGTCCTGGGTGTGGTGCTGCAGAAAGCTTAGCAGCCACCCCTCTAAGCAACCTGTACGGGTCGCTATGAGTTAGAACCGATTCCATAGTACTAACAACAACCCCCTTACATGGCACTTCTTATGACGCTGTAGGGTCTGCACTGGATTGCGAACTATAAGGTAGGCATTTCAAACCCACCAACTGCTCAGAAACCCTGTACTGCTATGAATCGGAACATGCCCACACTTAACAACAAGACCAAGCCGTTAACCAGGAAGGGGCTTGCTGTAAAGTCATCCGCTAACTCTGTTTTGAATGTACACCTTGTTAGGTGGTGTCGAATTGGTTCCAACTCATAGTTGTTGTTGTTAAGTCCAGTGGAGTTGGTTCTGACCCATAGCGACCCTGTACAGGGTTTCCGAGACTGTAAATCTTTATAGGAGCAGAAAGCCTCACCTTTCTCCTGCGGAACAGCTGGTAGTTTCAAACTGCTGACCTTAAGGTTCGCAGCCCAATTTGTAACCACTACGCTATCAGAGCTCTGGTAGCGTAGTGGTTACGAATCGGGCTGCGAACCTTAAGGTCAGCGGTTCGAAACTACCAGCCGCTCCGCGGGAGAAAGATGAGGCTTTCTGCTCCCGTAAAGATTTACACCCTCGGAAACCCTGTACAGGGTCATTATGGGTCGGAACAGACTCGATGGCACTTAACAACAACAACAACAACGCTATCAGAGCTCCTTCCAACTCATAGTAACCCTATGGAAATGGGCTGATGCCTACTACAGTATGAGTTAGATGAGTATTTAATAACTCTTTAAGCAGAGGGTGATTGTTTGCCAGAACTGGAACGTCCTCACCCTGTCCATTAATGCAAATCATTTTTCAGTTCTCCTCGTAAATATGGTCTGTGATGCTGTAGGATAAGCACCAGACTGAATTGTCAGTTTGAACCACAAGGTCAGTGATTCAAGGTAAGCACCTGCTACTCAGGAACCCCATACAGGGTCGCTCTATGTCGGAACCGACACCCTGGTGTGTTTTCCCTATACTGCCCGTTATCAGAACAATTCATTTTGTGAGACTGAAGATCGATATCTGTGCCCTTTTTCCCCTGCCCCCAGCCCCTGCCCAGGTCTGAAAGCTGGGAGGACTGGGTCTTGGTGGTGGTCCACTCCACGCATTCTTCTCTGCAGTGTGCCTTGAAGAGACTGCAGTTTCATACAGACGGCAGGTCCGTGGCGACCCTGCACAGAGCAAGTCTATTGGCACCATTTTCCCCACAGCATGTCTTCACTCACCATCTTCATGGCCCACTTTGGACCTTTCCACGGTATTTCAAACTCCACAGACAACAGTATCAACATTACTTTTTCGTGCACTGGGAATCCACACAATTCGTGGGAGCCCTTTACTGTTGTATGGGCTTTATTGAGGTGACTGGGAACCAAACCCACAGTATCTCCAAGGTCTGTCTATACAATAATCTGAGAATCTAGCATAGCACCTGCCAATGATAACTGTGTATGGAATTAACCAAAGGAGTGAGCATTTGTTGAATTCCATATATTGGTCAGAAGAATATCTTACATTCATTGTTTTCTGTGGGGGACACCTGTGATGTAGATCATGTATTAATATCCCAACTTCATGAATGGAAAAAGCAAATTCTACAATATTTGTGACCAGAGTCACAGAATTAGCAACAGAACTCAGGCTTCAATACAAT